TTCTATTATGTCGGTACGATTAGAAGCACTCGCAGCATATTGTCCATCCGATTTCGCCAGACGACCTAAATCACTCGAGACATGCTCAAAATTATAAAGCCACAGAGTATCGCCAATTTCTCCTCTATACTGGTCTAGTGGTAGCATATGGTATTCTTGATCATCAAGCATACACACACTTTTTATTTTTACATACTGCTATAAGAATTTTAGTTTCTGTATCACCATCAAAAGCACATTTAAGCTTTGCAGATCTTGCATTAAAAAAGTTTGTAGAAAGATGCAAAGATCTTTACGGCTCAACTTTTTATTCTTATAACATACATGGTCTAATTCATCTAGCTAATGATGTACAACAGTTAATTAGGTCCTCTCGATACATTTTCTGCTTTTCCATATGAAAATAACATGATTGTATTTAGAAAGTTTTGTAGAAAACCCAATCTTCCTCTTCAACAAATTTATAATAGATTGGCAGAAATAGAATCCCATTCTACAATTGAAAAACATAATATGAGTTCTACTATTCATGTATCTGGAAAGCATAATACAGGTCCTCTTCCGTTTAATGTTGCTTCCAATTATTTTCAATATTATAAGATCATATTTAACGGAATTTTACTTACTTTAAACATGCGTGATAATTGCTGTATTCTATATAATATGTCCGTTTGCATTGTTGTCAATATTGTTATGATTAAAAACTCATATTATTTGGTATTAAAAAAGTTCCTTGAAGTAAAGAATTTTTATGAAGTTGGTATATCGTCGTCAGCATTGCATATTTTTAAATGTTCCTCATTGAGCGATAATATTTTTACTGTTGGCATAGAAGAAGTTTGTTTAAAAGGCTACAGAATACCTTTTTGGGATAATACATCAATAGATATGAGCAGCAGTGATGAGGAAAATCATCCTGCAACTCTCCACTACATAGTCGTTGGTATTGTACATAATGAAAAATTCTAAAATTTAAGTTATATTTTGTTTGTTTGTTTTTTATGGTCCTTTTGGTTTTTTCTTTGCTTTTTTATATCAAAAGATGCAATATCTTTTGCAATCCTGCCAAGCGACGCGGTAGCGGCGCGACGCCAAGTACCTAAAAATCTGCGTGTTACTTCATTGCGCAAATGTCGTGACGCTACTATAGCTTTATCTGGAATTCTTATGTCAAACATACTTTCAATTCAAATATCTCAGAAATTATAACAGCAATACAAGATCTAGCGACATTTTCTGATATAATGTCGATACAAACTTTCGATTGCGACCATTGCGAATAAATTGATGCAGTCAATACTGAGATCTCGAGATCGAGTTCGTGAAAAGTGTCACTAATTTATCA